GGGGGGGGGGGGGGTTCAAGCCAGATAAGGGGCAATGAGTCGTGGCATGGTCAGCCTCTTTGAGCAACCGTGGATTGAGCCTGACACGAACAAACCTGTCCCAGCGGTTGATTGTGGCCATCACGGATGGCAAAGGCAAGGCACCAGACGTGGTGCGCTCCGGGCACGGCACGAAGGGCCAGATTGACAACATACTCTTCCTCTGGTGCCGCAAGCGCCTATGACCATGGGGCAAGGCGCTTCAAGGTGAGCGCCACCAAGCCTGGGGCTAAGAGGGAAAGGGGTATCGGTAGGGAGACGAACGTGGTGGATGGCAGTGACCCAGGGAAAGGCCTCTTTGGGTTGCGCCTCTGCCTGTCGCAGACAGTAGCCAAGCGCCAACTTTTGTTTGTTTGGTGCCTCGCTGTGCAACACCGCCGCGCGCAGAGCATCGTATTTGTCGGCGATTTTTGCAGCTGCAATGTCCATGCCCATGACAAACGCAGGTTTGGGATGAGACGGCAGCATTATCACGGCGGCCCGTGCCAAACAGAGCTCGGCACTTTGTTGGTAGGGCACGAGCAAGGCAGCGCAGCGATGGGCGGGCGCACCATCTTTAGCTTTTTTGAGCTGCATCTCGAGGGGCGTTAACACCTTGACCAGTGTCATGGTTTGCTCAAAGGTCTCTTCAATATCGTCTGGCACCTCGATGCCCAGTTCCTCACACCTGTGTCCATGCGAGTCGTGGCTCGACGTATGAGCATGCCACGAGTATGAGCCGGGCGACTCGCAAACAGGAAAAAAAAAAGCACGCACCAGGTTTCAAATCGTTCAAACTCATCCGCCAGCCCTTGCACCGGCACACGGAAGAGGCGTCGATAAGCCTCAATGACCGAACCGAATTGGGCTTCAACGGCAGCTTCATCGCCCCCGGCCTGCCAGCACAAGCAAGCGTCGTAACGTGTAAGGTGTGAGGGCTCCATTTCAGCCAAGCGTAGATCACAGAATCTCTCGGCAAACATTGTGATGTGACCCACCATTAACTGACGCAGCAGGTCCGTTTCGAAATCAATGGCTCGCTTGTGCGCAGGCAATCCCTGAGGTGATCGCAGCAACAAAGTATGTCAGGTCTGGCCAAACACCGCGCATTCTGGCCCTGGTGGTGCGTGCGTGTGTCGGGACGCAAGAGTGAAGAGAGACCGCGATGACCCTACCGTGGTAAAATGGTGACCAACAAAGGCCAGCTGCTCGGCGTAGAGGGCACGGAGCGCGGCAATGCCATCGTCTTGGAAGCTGCCCTGCCCTTGCAAAAGGTAAAAGTTTTTGCAGTAGTCGAGATAGTCAAGCCGCAACTGGGCCACTGGTACATGCAAGGTCCAAAACCCAGCAGTAAGGTGAGAAATCGAGCAGGGGCAGCCTCGTGACAGTCAGGTCTTGGCCCGCCAGGCGAGTTGGGCGGCTGCTTACACTGGCCATCAGCGGATGCTTGTTTGTACAAGTCGAGAACAGATTGCATTTGCTCGAGGGTGTCTGCACCCTCGCGTGCATCATCGAGCCATTCCATCCACACATCTACATAACAACATGTCATGCAATGAATTTGAGCGCACGCCATTTTCAGCCCAAGCGGGGGCAGGGTGCTACGAGCAGGTAAGTGCAAGTGGGGAGGGTAGTACAAGCAGGTATGTGTGCGTGTGCGACCAACCCTGGGGCAGAGGAAACAGGCGAGCAAACTTCTCGCGAGCGGCCTGAAGCTTGCCCGAGTCTTTGATCTCGCTGCACGCCTTGATGTAGCGAATGTGGTTGTCAAAGTCTTGCGGATGCCTGAAGATCTGTGACACAGCACGAGTCGGGGCATTTCACGAGCGCGGCCAAATTTCATGAGCCATCGCTCCAAGCTCTGCCTTACTGGGCCTAGTCCACCCAGATCAAAGCCGAGAAGGCAAGGGCAAAGGCAATGGCAAAGCAGCAGCTTGGACCCCAACCTGATCCCCCACCCTAAATTATACCACCACCAGCCCTCCCTCCTTCGCTCCCGCCTGCTGTACCACTGGCACGGCCGTTTTCGTTTCCGTACCTCATGTTCTAACCGCTCGATTCGGTTCCGAACGTTTTCATCGTGCGACGTCATGCTGCCTTTTCCACACACACACAAGCGAGGGAGAAGAGAAGCAAAAATGTCAGACACAACCTCGGCCTGCCAAAGTATTGTCTGACATTGGCGTCTGACATTAATTTTGAGTGTGTAAGTGTGACCGTGATACACTTGTAAGCTGCTTTGGAGGGATCCCTGTTCCTGTTTTTTTTTTCCTTTTGGCGCACGATCGCAACTCGAGCGGGTGGGGGCGGTCCGCGGGGTCAACCTGGGAACGCAGTGCTGTCTGGGGCATAGGCCACTGCGTAGACCGCATGCGAGATATACACCTAGCGCTCTGGGTTCCTGTTTGATCGTTTCCCGTCTTTATTTGCCCACAAATTTATTCTATTGAATAAGATCGCCTTGCGCCGAGTGTGGGGTGAGATCTGGCCATTGGCTTGGAGCTGCTGGCCATGGAACGCCAGGCAATCCTGGGCCAGGCCGAGGTGCGCGGCCACCGCATCAGCTCCAAGAAATTGGGCTTGCTGATGGCGGCAGGTATTGTCGTGCTGACGATCTGCATCGTGACGCCCGTGGTGCTTATCAAGCCGAGTGGGAGTGTGCCAGCCGATGACTTTGCGGGCCAGGTGGTGGCCTCTCAGGCGGCGTACACCCACTTGGATTATCTCGCCCAGACGGCAGCGATCAACGGCAGCAACAGTCGCTCCATTGCTACCAACTACATTTACAGTATTGGATATGTGCAGCAAGCTATCGAGGCCGCTGGCGGTGCGGCGCGCTTTAATGCTACTGTGGACTACTTTGTGAGCCCTTACTGGCGCTTGCTGAACGAGAGCGCGAGTGCGAGTATCTTGACCATTGGCAATACCTACAGCTTCACCAATGGATACGATTTTCGTGTCCTGCGTTACAGCGGTGCAGGCAATCCTACCAGCACCATCACGCATGTCAAGGATAGCTGTACCGCAGCCGACTACACAGCTGCCAACGGCACCATTGTCTTGCTCCAGGCCGTGAGTGGCCTAGCTGACTGTGACCTCTACACCCGGGCCATGCTTGCCGAGGCAGCCGGCGCCGTGGGTCTGATTGCGTATGCCACAAAGGCGAGCGACGGCATTCTTTGGCCGCGCGTGCGTGCCAGCGACTGGGATGTTAGCATGCCCTTCACCACGCTGCCCAGCGTGGGTGTCACCTCCACGGTCGCTCAGATCCTGCTGGATACCACCGAGGCCGTCACCCTTTTCGTGGCGGCTATGAGCACGCATGTTCCGAGCGCCAATCTTATTGTCGATACGTTGGATGGTGACCCGGCCAACACACTGGTTGTTGGTGCGCATTTGGACAGCGTCGATGCCGGTACGTCTGCATTCCACCACTGGCACACTGATCCCCCATTCCCCCCCCCCCTCCCCCCCCCCTCCCCCCCTGCCCCTCCTTCTCGTGCCTCTCATTGCCGCCTCCCTCTGCTTTGTTCCACAATGTTTCTTGGAACCAAACGTTTTGTGATTAACACGCCCCCACCAGGACCCGGCGTGAATGACAACGGATCCGGCTCCGCTGCAGTGTTGGCCATGGTGAGCGTTATGGGCGCCAAGAACATGAAGCCCCGCAACCGCATTCGCTTTTGCTGGTGGGGCGCCGAGGAAGAAGGCCTGATTGGCTCTCGCAGCTACCTGCGCAAGCTCAACGCGACGGACCCAGCGGAGTTTCAACGCCTCAAGGCCAATCTCAACTTTGACATGCTGGCCAGCCCCAATGCGGTGCACCTTGTATACGATGGCATGACTGCACCTCCCAGCAGCAGGGCCGGCTCTGTCCAACTTCAAAAACTATTTGAGACATTTTTCAACCGCAGCCAGGTCAAATACAAGATTCAGCCATTCTCTACCACCGGCGGCTCCGACTATTTCCCTTTTATTCACAGCGGTCAGTGCTTTTGCTATGCAGGAGTCACCGTCAAATCCAGGCGCTGCTCACACTTGAATGACCGCGACTTGACAGGCATTCCAGCGGGAAGCATTGCTACTGGTGCTGGTACAGAGAAGACGCCCATGGAGCGGGATACGTATGGAGGCACTGCCAACGCAGCTTATGACACTTGTTACCACCAGTCTTGCGATACTCTCCAAAATATTAATAAAAACGTTTATGACGTGCAGCTGGCCGCTGCGTCCTTTGCTGTCTGGCACTTGGCTGATTTGCCAACCCTGGGTGCACTGCGCCAAGCGTGAAACCATCTCCTTGCCCGATTGTGCGGCAAGCTGAATTCCTTCTATTGTTTGATGTTTGATGAGGGAGTCATTCTCGTCTATCTTTGCTCTCAGTTTTGCGACTTAAGCGCGCTGCTACATGTTCGTGGCAGAAAACCAAATTTTAATTTTTGCCCCAAGGTCAACGACAGGTCGATGTGAAAATGATCCGATCAGATTTGGCCTTTGAACTTCCATTGATAATTTGAGAAGTAAATCGAAAAAAAGGGGGGGGAGCAGCCTCTCAATGGAAAGTGGCGCGCAGCGCCGCCATGGATTCAAGTCATCAGGAGAGCTCGGTCAGGTTCTGGTCTTACAAAACGGCATGGATTGCATCATGCAACCTGTTGAGACCGTGGCGAGAAAGCTGAACAAAAGACGAAAGCACCGACAGCCTGACCGCGAGTCCCCACACATGTGGCATAGGCATGAGATTTGTCGCTCGATTGGAACCCAAAAGCTGATGCTGCGCGACAAAAAGGATGATACCAACGTACTCGTGTGCCCGCTGCTTGCACAAACGCTTGAGACGCTTGCCCGCTGCCGCAGACGCATCGTGATCTAACCGGCCAAAACAATGAGCCAGGATTAATTAAAAGAGAGAGAGATGAGCTCCCCAGGATCCTCCATTCCAACAGACTTGGGCGAACAACCGCGTGCCCGCACCATGGGAAGAATCCGGACGATGAAGGGCTGGGTCCAAAGCCACTTGTGCAAATAATAGTTGAAGCGCTGACCTACACGGCGGTCAACAATGAGTTCAGGCCGGCAAGCCCCAAAGGCCCAACACCGTTCGGTGGATGCAGCTAAGAAGCACGCACCGCTCACGACTATCGTCTGCAAAACAGATGAAGGCCGACGCTGACTGCGCTTCCCGCAGCAGCTCCAACAGAGCTGGGGCCATGTCGCGAAGCTCGTAGCGGTGTCGTTTGGCGGGAGGTAGTGCCGCGTTGACATGCGTCACCGGGTGCTCTGCAAGAAAGGCTGTCAAGCCTGGCTGTGCACCAGAGGCGGCGAAGGACCAGTGCCAGCAATCCTGACCCGGTGCTTTTGAATAACCGGCTGCAGTGCTATGGATGACAACGCGAGGAATGTGTGAACTTGCCGCGCCAGCGGCATTCGTGGGTTCTGCTAGCGTGAGCGTGGCGGGGTCTCCCAGCCAAAAGTGGGTCTCGGGTATGGACAGGCTGGGGGGCTCTGCTGAATTGCTAACCGCCAGCGGGTCGGCTGCCTGACAGCGCTGGGCAGCCTCCAAGATGGCAGCGTCAGACTGGCCTTCTCGGCACAGCTCCAGCAGGTGTGGTGCGTGACGCCAAAACAGGTCAGGCTCGAGGCGGCCGCACCACATTTCCTCATCATCGCCTGCCCCTTGAATGTAGAGAAAGCCGGGCCGCTGCACCACGTCCACGGGCTCTGACACGCAGACACAGGCTACCACATACGCATCGGGTTGCTGCAACATGGGAAGGAAATCTTCGCTCAGCAGCTGTCCTCGATGAAACCATAGGCAACGGATCGGTCGGTCCAAGGCGAGGAGCGCGCTTAGGTCGATCGGCGCCGCGAGTAAAGCCTGCAAGCGATCCTCAAGGACAGCAGCGACCTGAGCCTGCTCCGACGGGGGCACGGTTGTGGGTGGCATGTGCAACCAGGCCTCTGGTGGGTATGCATGGTCTGTACTTGTTGCGTCATCATCCTGGCCATGCGCCTGCGACGACATTTGACTGCCGCCCGCAGGGTGCAGGCCTGGTAGTCCCTGCTGCCGGCGAAGACGATCGGCGAGCATGGAAATAACTGCGGCCCAAATGGGCAGGGTGCGGCTAAAGCTATCCGGCAGAGTTCGACCCTTGCGCGTGGCGTCAGCCACCAGGACTGCCCCGTGCTGGCGGAGCGTGGCTATGAGATGCAAATTCAAACGCCGATGGGCCAAGTGCCAGACGTTGCGATGACCATCCGTGCTTTTAAAGTGCACGCAGCCATCAAATCGCGCGGCGTACCAGCGTCCACAGCGCAAGTTGGCATATAGCGGGAGCTGCGGCTACAAGTCGGGACAGCGCCAATGAGCATGTCAGAATGGGCGGAGGGCCGTTTCGCGGCTGAGCACGTGGGACAACACCTACGTAAAAGGCATGAAACTCGCGCAGATATTGGGCATCCTCTTCAATAGATAGGAGCCGATTAGCCAAAGTGTACTGCTCCCGTGCAATTCGCCGAGTCCAATGATAGGTTGAACGCGAGCGCAACAGCGCATCGTCCACCTCGGTGAGCGCCTCCGCCATCCGAAATCGTCTGGAAAAAAAAAAAAAAAAAAAACACGTTCCAAAAAAAAAAAAAAAATTGATTTTCGTGTGGATGTCGCTTTTGAAAAGAAAAGGGGGCCGCCCAAGTGGTAGGTGGCTTGTTACTATGGCAGTTGTGGTGAGAATGAGAGCAGCGCTGTGGTAAAGACGTCTTTGCTTGGGCTGGGAACCTGGATGCGATGGGGAAGCGTTTTAGCAATTAAGGTGACTCTGGCAAAAAGCCGAGCAAGCTAGGAGAAAAAAGGAAGGAAAAACCGATCACAAGAGATAATCATGGGCTAGTCGATACAAAAGACAAAACAAGAAGCGACATGAAACGGCCGCTGGGGCAGACCAGCGCCCATCAGCCGGCAGCGCCGGTGGGTTTGTCAATGATAACAAGGTCTAGAGTTCTTCGTGTGCTGGAGTAGCACCCGTTTTGGTATTCTGAGCAGAAGTGCTCTGTTGCGGCGAGACGGGCTTGGAAGATTGCGTTTCAGTCTTTGCGGTCTGAGCAGCAATCAAGGCCTCCACCTCGGGCGGTTGGCCATCAACGGCCCGCAGATAACCCTTGGCCAAGAGCGAGTCCATTTGCCTATACAAGTTAAACTTGACAGCGTCGCGCTTGGGGGCCTCCAAGAGCTTGTCCATGGCCACCGGATAGACGTGAGAGCGATCTGTGGGGGGCAAAAGCACCACGTGCTTAACGCCACTGAGGATGGTAAGGCTGTTGTATGCCGAATCGTAGTGCAATCCGGTGTGGATGGGCTTGTTGGTGGTCCAAAACTTGGGCATGGAAAAGGCCAGCTTGTCGTGAGGTTCGGTTACGTTGAACATCTGGTTGATGCGCAAGTAATGTTCGTGATAACGCTGGTAGTAGGCAATGGGAGCCACAACTGGATGGTCTTCAGGAATCGGACACATGGCATGGCACATGGGGTAGGGATGGATGTCCTCGACCCCAACGGCCCCTTCGGTGGGAAACCGCTCTGCTAGATCGCGGATGATGGACATGCGCTCTTCAGGTGAACTGTAATTGTGAACCTGCGGGTACCCTAGGTGACAAAACTCTTCAAAGGATTTTGGCAAGTAGTAGTCGAAGCGGGCAACCTAACAAAAAAATCAAAATGGCCATAAGCAGCAGAACGACGAGAGCCTTTGGATGGCAGCAGGACAAAGAGTCCATGCTGTTGGAGGCAAGCGCACAACAACCAGTCCAGCGGCGAATTTCTTTTCTTCTTTTTTTACCTCTTCAGGATACATGTGGTCGCTGTTACCACAGGCAACCACGGTTTCGGCTTCCACTTCCCGGTTGCACAGCTCTGGGTACGTGCGGCCAATATCAGGAAGACTCCAGCGACCTAGCTGAAGGTGCTCGCGCATGGCAGCCACCTCCTCTGGCGTGTAGAGGGCAGAGGTAAGGTTGGTTGGTTTGAGCTGTTCAAAATAGTGTTGTTTCAGAGCCCGACGTTTTTGACGCAGTTCGGCCTTGAAAAGCATCATCATCGGTGGGCAGGCAGACGCGCGTGTGCGTGTGAACGAATACGTGCATGAATGGGATGCAAGCAGATCGTATAAAAAATGAGGAAACACGATACAACGATGTGGTCGGCCATGAAGCGCAGCGGTCGATCCGACTGACCATGGCGCTCTTCTTCACCTTGCCCCGGACGGGAAAGTCTTCATCGGTTTTGTTCTTGGCCAAGGCGAGCGCCAGCGTGAGCTCGGCATGGGTGTAATTAATGGCGCCGTAGGTCAAAAGATCCTTGTTGTCAAAGACGATGGGTTCTTGGAAGATGCGGTGGGGCGTCGAGGTCCAGTACGAAAGCCCAAGGACAGCCTCCTCGGGGGTGGCGTAGGAGAAAACCCAATGGTACCAAAATTTGGGAATGTACAAGGTCTGACCCGCCCGAACTGTCAAGCGCCGGGGCGACGCGCGAGCGTACTTTGGGTAGGTGCACAAATCCACCTAGTTTGATCAAAAGTTAGAAGCACGTTGCGATCTTGGACATGACCTGCACTACAAGGGGAAGGCGGGGAGATGGAAGTGTGCGGCAGGACTCGGACCTTGGGAAATTCCCCATGAGGAACATATTCAGCATCAATGATGCTGTGCGCCCGCAGTGAATGCCGAGAGATTGAGCGAGGACGAGATAAAGGACGGTTGATGCAGTCGGTTGGACGATTGCGATGCTCCTACAGACCACCGTTGATGCCCGCATGCGTGAGTTTGGGTAGCTTCGTCGAGCTGGTGGAGGTCGATTGGGTGTGTGCGGGCCCGACCGTGCTGAAGACCGCTTGTGGAATTGACGTCGGGGAATCATCATTGGTGTCAGTTGACGTGGCCGCGCCATGATCCAAGAGGCCAATGAGCAGCATTGCCACCACCACCACCACCACCGTCGCCGCCGCAGTGCCTCTGTGGCGTAGCCTTGCGCCTTGCGGTCCCACACCGCTTGTTGCTGTCATCTTGGCATCGGGTGCCGACACGCTACTCTGCACGGCGGGCTACGAGCCTGGCCAATTGATCCCGCAACTCTCCCTATACAACCCTGCCTCTTGTGGCACAGGTCAGCCAAACCTCGGTACCAGCACAAGAAAGATCCCGGGGCTTTCAGGCGCGTCTAATTGCCCAGAGGGCGGAACCGGGGCCGGCCGTGGCACGATTGAGCGGCTGTGATGAAATGCTCCAACCACTTGAACAAGCTTTTACGTAAAAATATGGGTTGTTGTATTAACCATAATATATCTCTCGATAGTTTATGCAGTTGATAGCTCAGTTATTGCATTTACCGGTTGTGGTGGTGGACGCGACATGGTGTGACGGCATTGACTGCGATTGACGCATCTGATTGATATCGTGGCGGTGCGATTGATGTGAGCGAGCTGGTCGTTCTTTTCTCAGCTGGACACTGCATTGCGAGCCGTACTGGCGCCGAGTCTGGCTCTTGGCTCAAACCCTGCCCACGAGCTCTTTTTTTTTTTTTTGACGCTTTGGGGGAGAGCCAACTTGTAGTGTGTCGTGTCATGGATATCTGGACGTTTGAGGTACGCTTTCACGCTCTCGGCCCGTACCCTCCGCGCGCCTTCCTGCTTACCCTTTGGCCCCTCGCGGTTTATTTCCATTGACGGTGGTGGTCGTTTCTGACTGGGGTGGGCCATCTCTATACAGGTGCTGATGCTGATCGGTGCCGGCCTGGGTTACGTTGTCATGTCTCGGCGGCAACAGGCACTGCAGCGAGCCGTGCAGCAACGCCTTCAGCAGCAGATCCAGAGCGTGTGACGCCTGATAGAACCAACGTTTGCCGCATTCAAAGCGATGGCTGTTTGTCGCAGCTCAGTTGGTCGAATTGGAGTGGCGGAACAGCCGGCTGTGACGACCTCTGCCACCAAATGAGTTGTGGTCTGTTCGCTCCCGCTGCGCGGGAAGTAAATTTTCGCATGGTTGTATCAATGTGCCGCTCCCACGGGGAACCACGGCTCAAATTGACCACGTCTATGGCATGCGCCCTGCCTGGATCTGAGTGCCAACGCCCTCTCTCGTTCTCTCTCTCTCTCTCTCTCTCTCTCTCTCTCTCTCTCTCTCTCTCTCTCTCTCTCTCTCTCTCTCTCTCTCTCTCTCTCTCTCTCTCTCTCTCTCTCTCTCTCTCTCTCTCTCTCTCTCTCTCTCTCTCTCTCTCTCTCTCTCTCTCTCTCTCTCTGTGAATTCTCTTGGATTTCTCCGCCTGTCCGTGCACCATCACCGCCCGGCTGCCTTGCCACACCCGTCCAGGCAGCGGAAGCGCCAACACATCCCCACTGCCACCGCGCCAGCCAGAACTACCTCCTACTGCTGTCGACCCACTTCCTCTGTTTGCTGACATTCCAGAAAAATTCAAAAACCACTCTCTCTCAAGCTCCTCAAGCCTCAATCTCTCTCTCTCTCTCTCTCTCTCTCTCTCTCTCTCTCTCTCTCTCTCTCTCTCTCTCTCTCTCTCTCTCTCTCTCTCTCTCTCTCTCTCTCTCTCTCTCTCTCTCTCTCTCTCGTGGTAGTTGTGCTTTTCCTTTGAGTCTTTGCTCTTTACTTCTCTCTTCTCAAACCAATCTTCTCCTC